TTTTTTGGTTTATTGGTTTTTGGTATTCCCTCTAAACTGGGATAGGCTTGGATCTCACAAAATTGATCCAAAAATAGCTCAAAACCTCAATTTTGGAGAGGTTTTTGAAAGAAATCACTGTAAACCACAGTGTTTTTGCATCATTTTTTTGCATGAAAAACATCTCCCAGGAACACCCGTTCTGTAAAAATTCTGAATCCTGTGAAGATAGTTCAGTAGTAGAGGACATTATATAATGATTTGATGTAACTTACAATGTAATTATGTTCTGTTCAAGATGCCAATAGATAATATAGATCAAACAACCTATGACTATGACCCAGAAAAATGGGGAGTGAACATGGGGGGCCAGATTTCATGAGACCCGCCCGTAACTTACTGTATATAAGGCAATCCTACGGACATGTTGCTGACAACTATTCCTTATATATAGATCTTATAGCCCTCTGAAGAGCTCCATGATTCGCCTGCAGTAGGTGTCGCGATCATGTCCTTCAGCAATCGTTGCTTTTTCACAAAGGCCGGGGCGGCTTAGTCGAGACACCTCAGCCGTCCAGCCATGTGAAAGTTGGGGTGGTGAGATTGAATTTCTTGGCATGCTGCAAGAGTATGATGCAGTAGTTGCGATCACCACTGCAACAATAGGAAGTAGAGAGATGTAGAGAGGTGTAAGGGCGATCTGGTGTTCGCATTATTCCTACATTATCATTATGCCGTGGTTTATGTCATTTCATTATTGCAATATGTTATTTGGTCTAGAGATTTCTCAAACTTATTATTCAACACCTTTCCTTTTTTCTTGGGTGGTTTTCCAGATTCGCAAGCTCTATCATTACTATTTTCTTGTGGGCAGTGCTTCCCAAGAAGCGCTCGTGAGGCTATAGCGATGTGGGTGGCTGACATGAGTTGGAGCCCAAAGGCGGTTGGAGCGACGTACTCACGGAACTGTGTAGGCACGCAGGAGACACGGAACGGTTGGAGCGATGGAGCCGCATGATTTGGGACCTGAGGCGATGGACCTGGTCATTGCCAGATTGATTGGCTCTCAGAGTGGAACCTGGAGGGTAAGGACCTGGGGGGTTGGTCTTCAAGCAGTTTTCCATGGTTTTCCAACTTCAGGTCGGAAACTACTTCCACTTCAACCCCGCTGGTGGTTGGCTGCGGGCCTGGAAGCTGCAACCAAACGATGGTAGGATCCAGGAGTGCTGCTTTGTGCTTTTGCAAGCTCAGGAAGGACATCACATCCCTTGACATTAGCAAGACCCCGTGCGGAACCCCTGCCTTCAGAATTGCCCGAAGTTATCCAAAACAGCTGCAGTGGGGCCGCATTATGCTGCATGGCATTCGCGAGAGAAGAGGCCGTATCCATTATATATACAACATTCTTCGTGGCCCCCTGAGTCCTGACCAAGGCAATCTAATCCAATGTGGGTTGTGACTGCTGTGAAAGCTTGATCCACCAGAGAGCCTCGCTTTCACCGGACATCCAGTCAAGAGTTACTGGCTCGACATGCTCCATTTTTGATGGGGGAGATTCCCCTTACGCTGCACAGACAGCCGTCATCTATTGATTGGGGTCTCTAGCATTAGGCAAGTTGTAGGTTCATTTTCGCCCAGCACAAGGGCTGCTGCGACAAACAACATGTTCCTCCAACAAAGGGAAAGGACATTCTGAAGCACCTTTGTGGGTGCAAAAGCCCATTGAGAATTAGCCTTGCTCGGTTTTGTGTATGTCATGCAAGCAGCCTTCCTGTGCTTTGTCGCACGTGCCTGGGTCCAGTCCAGAGAAACAAGCCGGCTCCATGCAAGACCGTGCACGTGTTGAATTGAACCGTTGACAAGCCAGAATTCAGAGTTGACCATCATTAATGTGGCCGCCTTTGCACAACTTCTCCAAGTTTGAGGCTCGGATTGAAATAGGCTTGCTAGGTCCTCAGGAAGGTGATAAGCTCCTTGTGAGTTCTTGTGAGCAAAGGCCTTGCCATATGTTGAAGGTGACAGATGTGTATCATAGCGCTTAATGGATGGTATTTAAAGTATTATGGGAATTTGATGTGCTTAATGGAGGCATACGAGTGCCGACAACCTCCAATAAGCTAAACCTACCTAAATATCCATTAAATATATCGCATTTTGCCCTATGATCTTACCTCATGACAAGTCGCGCCATTTGGGAGCTTGGGCCTCTTGTGGCTTCCCTTACTCTGCATCGATGTTCCTCGAGACAGGGGGAGAGGGCAAAATGCAGACCCAGCACATTGTGGCGCCTGAGCGCCAACTGTGAGGCTGGTGTGGCCCAAGATTTCTATCGCCAAGGCATGGACAGCCCGACGCAGGTTCTAGAATGGCACAAAAGAGGTGGCGGCTATTTTCACCAAGGTTTGTGTGCCGCCCATCTAGCCGGCAGAGGCTGGGGCCTTTGTGTCAAGGATGATGTGCCGGTGATACCTTCGGGCAGTGTTTTGGTCAAAACTCCCTCGAAGCTACTTTGGATTGCCCATGAGTCTCAATCTGCAGATGTTGAAGAGCCACTCGCACCGGGAGAGAGCTTGCCTAAAGCTTCAGCAGCATTGCGAAGACGCTTACTAACAGCTCTGCAGTCCCCCGATCCCTTTGTTGAGTCGATGCATCCCCCGGACACGATGCCTTTGCGACTTGTCGCTGGCTCAGTCTCATCAGATGCACCTGAAGCTGCCAAACGGGCGCTGAAAGGAACATCTTTGCTCAACCACACCTTGTCCTTAAGAACCAAGCTTTTGAAGGCAGTCCAGCCTGATCTGGAGAAGGTGAAAGAGAAGGAAGCACATTGGCAGGCCTGTGTTTGGGCACAGGCAGTGATAATGAGCAGAGCTTTCCACGTGCCAAAGGATAGTGATCGGCTTGTCTTGATCCCAATCGTGGATATAGCAAATCATGCACCAACATACAAATCTGCCAACGCAGAGTTTCGTGATAACGCTGACGGTAGTATTTCCATGGTGGCCAGCCGCGACATTGCACCCAAGGAAGAAGTGTGCATATGCTATGGTGAGCATACAAATGAACAGCTGTTATTTTGCTACGGCTTTGTCATTCCGGAGAATCCATGCCAAGGATTACTGTGCCCCTTGCAATTTCCAGACACCCCACACCGGGGGGAGCTTTTGCACCACAGCCTGTCTGATCACCGGAGACGGCACGGTCGCAATCCTGCAGCGAAAGCTGGACCGACCCTCAGACGACCCTCCAAGTTGGAGCCGGGAAGCGCTGAGATGGTTCTGGGCCTCAAGATTTTCGGGCTGTCGGAGGACGGCATTGAGTTATATTGAAGAGTGCAGCACCCCGTCGCACACTCTGTGATAGCCCAACTCCTCATAGACTATGACTATAGCTACAGTTATAGCTACTTTACTTGAGATTGAGCGAGGTGATCCGAGCTGAAAGGGTGTCCTCAAGAACATGAACCGAGACGGCGAAAATCCGAACCCTTCATCAATCCTTATTGCTTGGAACTGACACCTGTGCCAATGAAACTGAATTCCATTGAAATTGTACGGTCAGCTCCAGGATGAAGCCCAAGATTTGCTCGCCCTTTCAGTGGCCGAGCAGCACCAGGCTTTGAAGCCTTCTTTCCAAGTTGCTTGGATTACCTTAGGAGAACAAAACAGAGAAGCACTAAACAAGAGGCAGATTTGTCCGGACTTGTTGCATTTTGACTTGGTGTGATTGAACACATGACGTCAGATGAATGAGTTTCTTCCACTCTTCAAGGAGTGGGTCATGGCGCTAAGCTTCTTCGAGTCTTGGCGTGCAGAGCTTCCGCGGCGAATCTCTGAACAGGATCTTGTACCAGGGTCTCAGGCAGCTCGCGAGCTTCAGCAGGAGGCAGAAGAATTGCTCGAGTCTTTGCTCAATTTGGCCGACATGTGCTGGGAGGCCAACATGTTTGAAATATCTTGAAATCATCATTAGAGTTCAAAATCACCAGAGTGTTGTGCAAACATGTTTTGATAATACGTGTTCGGAGCCGGCAAAGCTTGCGCTTCGAACGCATTCATCCGCGAACGAAATGCGTGCTGTTTGCCGAGGACTTGGCAATGACAGAGGTTGCTGCACAGCTGCCATTGCCTTTGTATTTGAGATATTATTGCTTTACACGCCCCTGGCTTCGTCTCCTCCACTTTCTGCGAGCGCAGAAAGCATCTTTGGAGACTGATTGAAAGGGGAAAGGTGTATGCCTCGGTTCAGTTGAAGAGTCACTTTTGGAGGATTGCTGAGTTCCTCTATATCTTCAGCTTTCAACTGAGTTTCGTGAGTTTATGCCCACATATGATGTCGATTTTCACAGAAAAACCAGCCGCCTGCCTTTTGGCTTTGACTCAAGCATTGAGCAAAACAGATAACTGTATGACCTTATTATCACACACACACAGTAGTGCATGTATGCTGGGAAAGTGTGTAGGTAGGGTAGGGTGGCAGTATTTGGTAACCTTGCATTGAACGTGACGACACGGGGTAATCGGGTTCAGCTATATGCAGCCATTATACTGCTTTGGGAAACGTTCATTTTCTTGCCAGCCCAGTTCCTCCGAGCCTCCTGGAACACAGTCGGTCTGAGCAATGCAGTGTGGTGCTTGCCGTGCTGGACCGGCCCATGACAGAGATGCACGTGGTGGTATCTACCCAGACGGTTCCTTGACTAGACCGGAATTTTGACTTCTTAGCTCAACATTCTCCAGAGATCCTTCAGGATTGTCAACTGCAATGTGACATGCTCCAGTTTTTGACGTCTAGCTCAGGTGGGCGATGCAGAGGCAGAGCCCTTTTTTCAAGGTACCTGGGAAGGCTATCGCAATGCTCCTCAACGGCATTCAACGGCCACCCTTTTTCACAGATTCGGAAGCACCTGCAGCACCCAAAAGTCCAGCAAGAAAGGCACACAGCATGTAGCAATCCTGCTATTCCGTTGGGATGTAGCCATTGATTGCCTTGCTGTACGGTACTAGTATGCTATTGTCCGCCGCACCCGTCTCAGTGAATGAGGTGTAATCAGTGCAGCAGGTGTAGCAACTGAAGATATTACGCAAAAACCCTCCACCCTTTGCAAGGACTGGGATGGTGAATTTGGCTTTCGCTTTTTGGCGGAGGCCACGTTTGTGATTACATCGCTTGGTAGGTATCTTGGATGCAAGTGGAAGAGGAATTGGATTCAATTCCCATGTACAACTTAAAACGTCAGCTACTAGGGGCTCCTGGCATCGCTACTAGTAACAAGAAGCTACTAGGGGCTCCTGGCCTTACTACTAGGAGCAAGGACGCTACTAGGGGCTCCTGGCATCGCTACTAGGGGCAGGTCTTGACCAATCGCTGAGCCACTGCCACTGTATCCGCTGTCCGGTAACATCGTTAATTACCGGTGACCGATGTTGCCGATGGTTCATCCCGCAGCTGCCCAGCTCGGCTGAACCTTGCTCAGGTACGTGACTCCTGATGGCTTGGAGGAGGAGACAGTTGGGTGCCCAGATGTCATTCTAGTTATAGTTCATTCAGAATGTCATGATTACGCAGTGGGTTGGTTGGTAGTTGGTTTATGTATTTTACTAAGTTAGTATATTATAACTATGACTATATAACTTTAACTTTGGAATATTTTGGATTTGGTTTCCGCTCTCCCTCCCAGACGGTCACACTTTGGGCGGCCGACTCTCAGAAGAAACTCGCAGTGGCCACAGCTGCTTGGCTTGCGGGCGCCAGAACGCCGAGAATGAATGGAGTTGGACACATTAGCATCCTAGCTACTAATATATAGTAGCTTCTTGTTACTAGTAGTAATGGCCTCCAACCTACTGTACTAGCGATGGCCTCCAACCTAATAACTTCTAGCTACTAGTAGACCAATTTCATCCTGTTCATTTATATAAATAGAGGTGCAAAGTCTTCAATCGAGCCACTGAACGGCTGTGTGTATATATATGTGTACAGAGTGACAACTTAGGACTTTTGCTCATGCATGCTTGATTGTCTATAAGAGTCTCCATGTTTGTGTGTATGTATGTTCGTACAATGCTGCACGGACAGAGAAAGGAAATGGAGTCAGTCACTGTAAGGCTCTTCACCTAGGCCCTAAAACTTATTTCCGAGAGCTGTCCGTGGCAATTCTAGCCCAACTTATGCAGATTGCTCTTCAAAATTGCATAGGCTCAGCGTTCGCAACACTTGTACGAGGCTGTGGTCTTTTTTTGCATTTCTTTGGTGACGAATTCCCAGTCAGTCGTTCCTTTAGGTTGGATCGAACTCTACAGTGCTGGATTGCTACGCCTACTCTGAGGCCAGACGGCATATTTGCAGTCCGTAGTTCATTTTGATCAGCCGTGCAGTAGCTCAAGTAGGAAAGCCTTTGCCGATGTGACGATTGGCTTGACATCAACAGCGAACTTCCTACGGTTCAGCGAGTCACTGCATTTGTCATTACACCAGACACCAAAAGGCGGAAGTGGCAAATACACCAGCGACTAGATCAGCACCTGAAAGTTTTGACTCCGACTCGGAACGCACACTCAGAACCTATTAGGGGCTCCTGGCCTTACTAGGAGCAAGAAGCTACTGGGATCAAGGGCATCACTACTAGGAGCAAGGACGCTACTAGGGGCTCCTGGCATCGCTACTAGGAGCAATGCACATTCAGAACCAATGCCATGACAGGTATTCCCCAGAGTCGTAGCTCGACTTGGCAAGGAATACCGACTGACCCAGAGCTGTCACAGTCGTGACCTCAGTGAGTTAGTTGTTCCACGAATGGCCTTTCGTGCACAAAAAGAGGCAGACGTGCCCAATAGCATCCACCAGCTGAATCCAGCTGATGGATCTGGACCAATTTGAACTGAAACTGCTTGAGATTTGCTCTAAGGAGGCATGAAAGACCCGTGGCCTGATGGCCATTATTCCATGGAAAAGCTTAGCCAAAGAAGCAGCAGCTTTGCCAGGCGGGGTGAAGACAATCAAGAGACGCGGGGAGCAAAGTTGGGTTGAGGCTCCTTGCTTGATTTTATGATGTTCGTTCAACGTAAGAGTTTAATCATAATTTATTCGGTGGGATGTCTTTCCTCGGTCAAAGTCAGAGGCTGGACTCCGCACGCCAGGTATTTGGGAGGTGACTTGATGGCAAGCTGGAAGTTCTGAACTGGGCTTGCGCATGTCGAATTGATGATTTGATGTGATTTGTGTGACTTTCTTTTGACGCTGGCGCGAAACAGCCAGCCACTGGTCAGGAAAGGGGTGTGTGTTCTACTTCTTGTTCCTTTTCTTGCTCTTCTTGTTCTTCGTCTTCTCCTTCTTCTTCATGTTTTCCTTTCTTTTCTTGTTTCTTTTGTTATCTTCTTCTTCTCCTTCTGCTTCTTCTTCAGCATCAACAACAACACGTAATTGCAGCTATGAGCCCCGACCCAGGCAGCACAGAAAAACGGGGCGGTCTTCAAACCCAGACCAATACCCCCCACTTGTTCTGTGTTTTCTTGTTCTTGATTTTGTTTCCCTGCTGCTGCTGCTGCCTCTTCTGTTTTGTTTGTATTCTTTTGGTGTTTGTTCTAGTTCTTGTTCCTTTCCGTTTTCTTCTTGCTGTTCATCATCCTTCTAGCACCATAAGCAACCAATAGTCTCAACATGTCTCAACAATGTGACCCTGCCTCGGGAGCATCCAAAGCAGCTTTCAAATCCACACTAGGGGAATACCGGTAATACATACCCCCAGGTGCAACATGTCCAAAATGTGTCAAAATGTCGAACACAAACAAGAGGCCACAGAACACTGGCGGGGAACAAGGTCTGAACCTGGCACGGGGGGTCGGCGGCATGGCCAATGCATGCCTGAAGGTGGGTACGTCCTTCGGACCTTGGCCTTTTGCCCAGTGAACGCTGACAGGGGAATGATCCTGCTGCTGGCGCAAGGCTGTTGCGGAAAACATGAATAACACGGAAACATCTTCACGTGCACAGATATCTGATATCTCCGTGTTGTGCTTGCCCTTTATTGACTTGACAGCGCGCGGCGGCCTCCGCGGGCTCTCTGATGCTCAGGTGCCTATGACTGCCACGGTGGTTTTCCTGCATTTTGTGATGCAGAAGAGGGCCGACGTGCGGGGCAACCAGGCTGAATGTTTCGGGTTTCAACGGGGCAACCGACGGCTAGTAGTGATTCTGGATGGAACTGGTGCAGTCATGCTGGGTAGGACTCTCCAGAATTGCCCATTGTTGGCCCGGGGTTTGGGTCGGTCCAAAAAGCATTTCACTGCATAAGCTTCAGGGCCCCCACATACTTTGTTGCAATTTTCGCTGAGCTGGGCTGAGGATGTTAAACTTCAAAGTGATCTCTGGAATTGCTACTTCGGATTGCAAGCAAGGTCTGTGTTAGTAGACTTTCAAGTCAAGACAGGGCGTTTTTCCTCCTTTGCTGCAGTGGAACGTGGAAGAAATAGTGAAGCAAGGCAGAACAATCAATAAAAGCCCACCAATAGATTCACTGTTTCTTTTTTTCAGCGATGGTCAGGGTGTAGACTTCATGTCAAGCCAAGGCTAGTGTACCGTTTCACCCATCAACCACAGTCTACGAGTTGGAACCTCAGGACAACATCCCTGGAGAAATGCAGACCCGCCCCGCGGCGCAGCGCATTGTTCCAATTCTTTTCTCATCCCTTTCCCGAGGCTCAAGCAGCAGCTTGAGGCTGTGACCGGGGTGCCGCCGATTCAACAAGAGCAGCTCAATGTCAATGGATGGATGATGAACGACAGTTACAACATGTCACGACAAAGAGATGCAGATAGGGAGACCGATTGAGATCCCAAGTGGTTGGATCAGACATTGGCAAGAAGCGATGAGATACATCTGGGCAGATGAGCTTTATGCTATTATCATATCTCCAAGGTTGTCGTGCAACCTGAAGCCACTGTCCAAGAACAGCGAGACCTTGAGCAGTGAAGGTGTTGCTTGGCGAGTGCAGTATCTGAATAGTATCTGAATCATCTTAATCGGGGTTTGGAATTTGCTTTGCCTTTGAAAGGTGGCTGTGCGAATTATGTTGCAACAAGCGAATGATTCGTTTAGAAATCATAACAGATGACCCAAGTGCCTCAGGTGCCGTAGTCATTCTCAGATTTTGCCCAGGTGACCAATGGCGAGCTTTTGATCCTGGCCGTGCGAGTGTCTGAGCTGCATAGTCAGTTACGTCCACCTGGCCAACTGTGCCCCACTTAGAAGCAGTGTTCAATTAGGTTCGTGTGTAGCGGTCACCAACGTGATACTTGGAATCGGGCCGAAGCGGTCACCACTTGCGACGGGTTCATGCCTTTGAGGCAGGATCCTTGGCAATCACTGCATCGCGAGATGCTACTGCAAGGCTCGATGGTTACAACTTGTTACTGGGAGATGGGTTAGCTCAAGGCTCCCAAGACCCAAGACCCGAGGCAGTTAAAAGTCTGTTGTGCTTCCATTGGGAGGCAGACTTGGACTATGCTAGACTTAGGTGTGTGAGGTACGAAATGTTTCGAACAAACTTGTCGAAGTTCGCCATGTCTTTCGGTCCTTGCAGGCTGTGGTCAGTGGACTCCGGCGAGCATCTCGGATGAATGGACATGGACACGCCAAACGTCGTCGATGTGGACGCTGTTCGGAGCTTTTATCCAAATCCACAATGTTCTTTTTTGCGCCGTTCCACTTCCAAAAATCTACTTGCAAGTATTTGCTTCCTTCAGCCACAGGAGGTGGTAATATGACAGAGGAAAAGCTTGTTCGCTGTCACGCTAGGATTGCTGAGTGTTCAGTAGAAAGTGCCTGAGGGAGGTTGTCAAAAGGCCCTTCGACGATTGCAGCTAGCGCTCTTGAGGAACTCTCACTGACAGTATTTCACAATTCTAGTGTGATTGTATATAAGAGCTTGCGGCGCTTGAGCTGCCTAAATGTTTTTCATTGGTTTTCATTAGCTTGAGGTGCCAGCTCTTTATTGCAAGTTCTAACTTGTGGATTTCATTGGGTTTCAACTTCTGGCTTTTGCACAAGGTGTGTTCGTATCTTTTCGGGGCATTCTGATGCCGTGCTCGATGTGGATTTTGCCCCAAGCGGAAGCAGCGTGCTTACTGCTTCCAAGGACAGGGTTAATTGATAAGTGTGCCGGCTCCATGAGGGGGAGGAAGAAGTTGATTATTATACATGAAAATTCCAGCTTGATAGAACCAAAAGAACTTCAAACAACGCATTCTGGTCGCCAATTCTTGCATAACAAAATTGGAGCCAAACTCATATATGGAAGGATCTCGAAGGACCGGTAGAACAATGAACATCCTTACCGAACAGTTGCAGAAACTTCAGTGCCTTCTTATGTTTGCATCAACTAGACATGGTAAGCATATGGTGAGCGTGCGGCCTGCTCTGAGTGAAGATCTGCAATTTTCCACACATGCTTGTAACATCAACACCGCACAAGTTGAATTACAGTAACTCCATTGGGGCATGTCTTCAGGCCAAAGGTGGCAATACACGCAATACATGGCAAAACATGGCCATACACTCGTTTCGATCACTAGGCTCTATGCAATTCGCACAATCGAGTTGTAATCCAGGACTGCACTGCCAGAATTTGGATGGTGGAGACAGGAGAATGCTGTGCAAAGTTGGAAGGGCACACTGGAGCGGCTCCATGGCTAAGCTGTGGTGCTTCGGGATGTCTTGTGTACGTGGCTCGTGGCATGGTAGAGCACAAGCCCCGTTATGCATCCTTTGAATGCAGAGGCTTGAACGAGTCACGAAGGTCATAGAGATCATAGAGTCTGCTGTCTAATGTTTTGGTTTGTTAGTCGTTGCCGTGGAAATCGAACGAAACCAGGGCACCAATGAATCATGTGTCAAAGACTGGCCTTAATGAAGTATTGGGTACCGGGGTTAAGTCGTCTGGTCTTGTAGTAAGTCGATTGAAAGACGCGTGGCCTTGCAGGATCTGTGTCTCGATATACTTTCTTGAACTTTGTTATCCCTGCAACGTGGGATCTGGATCGCTGCGACTCTCGTGGCACTCGCAAAACATTTGTTCACATCTGTTCATATACTGAAACAATTTCTAACATGAGTGTTTGACCCCAAATCCTCCCTAAATTTCCATATGTATGACTGTATGACTGATTTATAGACTCATAACGTTTAAGGTTCTGAAGGACAAATGGCTTCAGAACACTACCTGGAGTAAGCGTTGCCATGGTGATTCAACACCCGAACAACAAGAAATCAACACCAAAATGGTCGTTTTTTTCCAGTGTAGGTATATTCGACACTGCATATATATATATATAAATATGCAGTGTCGAATTTGGTCGGGAAGAAGTACATAGCGTGGCCATGGTTGTTCACTCGACTCTTGTCCGGGTGGCCTTCCGCAAGCTGTGTGACTTTCCACTGCTGCAGCGTGCCCATGCGGCCGGGTGACTTTCTGCGACCCCAGGTGACTAAACCCGGGGACTTGTGTGCTTGCATGCGCCATGGAAGTCTTGAATCGGTCACCCTCGACCAGCCTTTGCTGCGGACTTTAGACGAATCAATCAATCACCTACTGTCATGATGAAACAGGTCATGTGAACAATCAGCCCTGAGGGACTAAACCATCATACGGACTTAGTTTCACATTCATAATCTTAATTTCCCAAATGTTCTACATGGTGGACCCCGAGATGTAGGAACATTTTGAAACCCAATCGCAGTAACACCATCCAAGGTTGTTTCTGCGGCATTTGCGCCTTCAGGCTTGACATTGGGTCTTTTTCAACACAGCTGTGATTGGGATGGGGAGGAAAGACACCTTGGAAGCTGTCATGAGTCTCGCGTCTTGTTCTTTTTCCTGGCCAGGTGCTCAGGTTGTGACGGCATCACAGGATCATACTGCAAGAGTCACTTGCTTGCCAAGCGGTCAGGGGCATTTTCTTTTGCAATGTAAGGCAAGAAGTGCCGTTCAGAAGTCGGACCAGTTCAAAATTCCTAGCTGCTGAGTGATCGAGGAGACAACGTGTTTTTGCTCTGGGGTATTGTATACTATTTTATTAACAAATATATACATCTATACAGATCATAACATAATATACATATGCGGTAATTATGCGTTGCCACATCACACATGTTTGATTCATGCTGCGCCCAAGGTTTGGACAGTCGATGGAACTTGTAGCCATCTACTTGACAAGCACTTGGGTGCTGTGGTTGCTGCTTCCTTCTCTCCAGACGGCTCACGGATCATTACAGCCCCTTGGCTGCCAGACACGGCAGACGCACCGATGGGATACACAAGACTGAGTTGGCCTGCAAGGCCTCCACTGATTGCACTGCTCGGGTGTGGGAACCCACCTTTGGCGATGCCTTGCTGAATCTCAAGGGCCACAGCCTGCTTCTCAGAAAACACAGACCAAGTTGTGACCAAACCGCTGGTGCATCATGTTGTGAGCTGGCCCAGACGTTTAGCGTCATCATGCCTGAATTCTTGTTTCTAATAGCCTCTTGTTCCTAGTAGCTTCTTGTTACTAGTAGCGATGCCAGGAGCCCCTAGTAGCGTCCGATCGCTCACACTGCACTTCGTGTGAAATCGCATGGACGATGTCGGGCCAGGTGGCGGCGTCATCCTCGGAAAGATTTCACCGGATGGCTCGCAGGCAGGCTCACGGCCAAAGTGCACCGGTCACCATGTGGAGTAAGCCATAGTTGGGGCTGCGGTGTACATGTGGCATGGTCAGCTGCCAGAATATGTTTGATGAGCTAGGGCATGCGAGAGCCACATGCCACTTGCTGATTTTGGTCTCAGATCTTGACGGTTGCGATTGACACACAAGGAGTCCTTACCTTGGTACGGCCAACTTGGCTGTGAAAAACTTACCATACGTGTGCTGAGGAGACCCTTTGATCACAGGCAGTTCTGACATACTGGTAGTTTGGAGCACGGAAAAGAATTGAGTGTCGACGACAGGAAGCGAATGCTTGCAAAGGTTTGCAGAGAAGTCAGCAGTCAGCCATCATTTCGTAGCTGTATGCCGCGGGTTTGTGAGCCAAGGTTTGTGTCCGAGACGCAGCCTCTGGAAGTGTGCTGAAGCAGGGTGGCCCATGGGGTTGTTCAAGTGCTTTCCACCCTAGCTGTGCACCAAGCATGGCCCTGCACACGGCTTGGGGGGCAGCGTTTTGATGTTTCTTCTTTTTTTTCTCCTCTAGGTGCCTAGAGATGCTAAGGGCTTCAGCATCATTTGCATGACCCCGTTGAGTCATAACTGGCCGAAGCAGCATCGCTTGTTACTTTTTGAGGAGACTTGCCGATGGCCAGCCAGAGGCCAAGGAATGAGAAGTTCTGCTGATTTGGTGCCCAACAATGCAACAATGGAGATGTACAGTATGTTTGTCATACGTGTCATAGTCATTTGTTCCGATTCCTTGATCAGAGCAAAGTGGTAGAGACTGGTGCAGCATGGTTTAGCAAAGGCATGGCTTATCATGGCTTGCATGCACGCCATTATTGACGTGGTGAGGTCGGTACATGATGCCGCTTTAACCTCAGAATGGTACAGTACAGCATTGCAAGTAGCTGCTTGGTCAAGTATCTCAGCAGCCTTTTCCATAGACCTGGCAATGAGCCGGGATGAGTGCAAGGGGTTCACACACAAATGCAGGCCTTCCATTGAACGGATAGTCAGAACGCAGTGCTGTATTGCGGGGTTGTATGAAGCCCGCCGTGCCACCTTGCGTCAAAATGTTCCTTGGACCACGATGAGGGCGACAAGGGACTATCAATAAGAATCTTGTCAAGAAGTCGCATCCTTGAGAAGCGACAACAGTGCATGCCAATAACAACAGTCCAACAGCATGTTGCAATACTTCGAGATCTTCCCACAAAAAGAGTCACTTGAGGCCTTCTCACCTGATGGCCATCACATCATGGCAGCTTGTGTGGGCCTTGCAGAGTTCTTTTCACGTGAGGAAGGAGAAGAAAGCCAACACACCATAACAGACCCATCAGTCGTTGCGGTTCAATTGCTCAAAGGGTTCAGTGAACGATGAGACTGATGAAACTGCACATAGCAAACCCCCGTGGTGGAGTCTATGGTCCTTTTTGAAGAACTTGCAGCCATAAAGCCCTAGAAGAAGCTTCTTGTTACTACTAGTAAGGCACTTGTTCCTAGTAGCGATGCACTTGTTACTAGAAACATAAAGCCCATGCAAATGCCTTTTTTGGGTCATAATACTTGGCCGGAAATGGTATGCTCGAGCCCAACAGCTGGTTTTGTAAGGCTATGACTGGAAGTGCCGCATTTGGAGCACGGAGACGTTTGAAATCCTCCAGGAACAGTTGTTTTGTGGCGCAAGTATGTCCCAATCGTAAAAGGGGGGTGTAATATGATGCAATATATACACACGTACACTTACTACACCCTTTGACATGTTCTTGGCCTATACGTCTTTCAAACTTCTGCGGTTGACAAGCTGACAGATGTTTTGTCAGCTTGAAGACATCATAAACCGATTAAACTCCCGCAGGAACAACATCATGCCTTTTGCATTGATTGAATGCGTTGTGAAACATTAGCCAGGACTTCGCTGAGTTTGTTCTCCTGAAATCAGTGCGATTCTTTGTTTGAACAGTTGCCAGGAGATGGCTCATGATGCACAAGTTGTATCATGCCGCTTCTCAGCAGACGGATCCTTCGTTGGGTCCCTCAGTGCACGCCGTGGAGACGAATCCCACAGTCGCTTTGGCCTCCTGCAATCAATTTTGACAAGGCAGTGACCATATGCGCCAACCAAATGGCTTTGGTGTGGCGTGTGCTGACGGGAGAACTGGTCAGCAGCCTGGAGTGTCAAGGGCACCCATGAACTCTAACAGGCCAATTCGGAGCAAGATCAGAACGAACGTCTTAGAGTGCATGTGCATGTGCATTGTATCATTGTCGTCGTCGTGTTGTTGGCCTTGGAGCTTTTGAATTGGATACGTGTCATTCAGTGTTTGTACTTCCAATGATTCCAATGCTTAGGTGCACCGATTAGGACATTCAGGGCCAGAGCCAGCCTCAGAATCTCAGATCAGCACAGCTGTGCTCAGAATGCGGCGCACGTGGTGCAGGGGGTCTCACCACTGCTCACTGAGGTTGCCACTGCATCCTTCAGCCCTGACAGCACTCGAATGGTCACGGGCGAAGATTGCCGTGGGCGTGTTTGGGATGCCAGCCCGGCATTTCTTTGGGTCTTGTGAGTTTGATGATTCTCTTTCGAACTGCTGCAGACACCGCGAAGTTCTGTTTTGCTTCGCAAAAGAGTGGCCCCACAATGCCCCACATGTAGAATGTAGATGTTTCTCTTTACTTGATGCCAGGTCGTCACTGGCAGATGCAGCGTTGTTCTGGTTGGCCACAGAGCTACGCTCTTAGCTGGTGCATTTGCACTGCGACCTTTGCTCCGCCGTCTTGAACAACTTGACTTTTCGGCCCTTGAGGCACGGTTGGAAGCGGCGCTCGTCTCGCCATGACTTGGCCAAAGATGCCACCATCTCTCACCGAGCAGTAACCGCCCTGTGGAAGCGTCCGTCCCTGTGCGGATGATGCCGTATATTTCTTTCTCCGGCAGTCACATCCATCACTACATATCAGTACGGCCTTTTCACAATAATATGGCTTTATCATGCTTTCTCAGTGTTTTTCAGCAGAAGGGTTCAGCAAGAATCTCAGGTGGGTCGGGGAGATTCGGGGAAGTAGTTTTTGTGTTGTCCATTGGGTCCATGAGGGGGTGTCTTTGAGTCATGTACAGCCAACACATGAGTGCGCTTGTCCCAGACTTGGCCAAGATGCTGGAGAACCTGTGCCAACAGTCCAACAGAGAACCAATCATGGCCGGGTTTGTCAGAGAAGACCGGTGAACGAAGCGGGTGGAAGCTAAGCAAGCTGCATGAGCATTGGTCACAAATACAACCACAGTTTCAATGAGCTTCACGCTTTGCCTGTCTCGTGTCCCTTGATGTTGCTCAAAGCGTGGGAGTGGCACCTGCTCAAGAGCAGGTTCATCCCGCGGTCTCTTGGTTGCAGCTCAGAAAGCATGCTGGTTTTGCAAGGCCACGCTGCTCATGTCAGCAACTTCAAATGACAAACCCCTTGTTCTGTTAGTCTCTTGGTTCTGGTTGAAACTATAAATTAGATACCGTTTGAGATGTTTGAGAAGCTCAGTGATTAATATGTGTTCTCCTTTCCGTTCCAAGGCACTATATATTGCATAGTTTTTGTGAAGCTCCACGAACTGATGACGAATGCTTAAGGGTGGCCCGCATGTATTTTACATTATTTCACCCTCGCCATGTGACATGCGCATTTGCAAATCCACCCGCATAGACCTCTTCCGAACAGTTGAGTTTTGTTTAGTTTGAACTTTGGTGACATGGGGCTGGGTGATACAGTACCCGGCGCCTGTACCTTCAGCACAGTTGAATCGGGATTGGCTGAGTCAGCAGATAGCTTGACAGATAAGGTGATCATCAATGAAGCGCCGCCGTCCTGTGAGGGCCTGAATGAGTCATTGGCGGGATCGATTGACAGTACAGTATGCACTAGCAGGGAGCCAAACCTAGCCCCACAGCCCATTGCTTCTTCAGGTGCTTTTAACTTACAATATTGTGAGACTTGCAGCATGTGACACTTGGTGCCATGCGGTGCCCTTTTGATTCCTGCCATGAGCTCCGTGCTGTTGTTTGCAGAGGTATTCTCCGCCCTGGTGGCTTTGCTCTTGTCAATTGTGCAATGCGAAGCTTTGTGTTATGGCAGCATTCAGGTCACAACAGTTTTATCTTTCTTTGTGATACTTGAGTCATTATTGTTTCAGCAAAAGACTCAGATACGACATGACCTTTGAGACATGGCACCCACGTCAAAATAAAGAGAGCAAAAGGAAGGCAGGTTGGTTCAACAGTCGCTTTCGGCAAATCGTGAAACAGGTCAGCACAAGGCAGCCCAGAGCAGCAGGCAAGCTGCAGTCGGGTAGTTCACAGCCTTTCTGGAGCTAAACAGGGTGTGGGTGTGGTTGTACAGCGTGGCATCACTTGAGCCAGAAACGCTGAAGCGCCAAACCCCGAAGCTTGCAGGCGGCAGGTCTTCTTCATCGTCAGAAGCTGGAGGAGAAGTTTGCGCTTTGGAGCAGATCAAAGCCAAGGCCGCAGGATTCCCAGCATGGTATCCAGAGCAGTTGGTGGCGGAATGGTCCGTCAACTGGTTTGTTCTTTTCATTCGTATTATATAAGTCATCTAGGGTCCTCATGTCCGTGGAGGGAGGCTGAATGAGGCTGATTTAAAGTCCAAATCGTCCAATTGATGCCAAGAGTGGTCCTTTGTGATTGTGTGTCGCCTTTCCTGGCTCGACCATGGCAGATTGCCGCGACTGCCACGATCTGTACTATCCGTGCACTCCTACCTGCGGCAACCACGACAAGCTGGGCAGGAGAGAGCTTGGACTTGCGAGACGTAGTATCCCACCACTGCCTTTTTGTCAACCCCGTAGCTCATTTGTTTTTGCTTTAGGAGCGAGATGTCCACCCTGCTTCAAATCAGGCACAAGGGGTGGTGTGTCCCACTGTTTCCTCAGTGGTGACATTTGTTTGAATATGTTTTCTGTGTTTTTTTGGTGCGGCTTTCAAAGACTTCGGGCCCTCGAGACATCAGATGATTGTCCGGAAGTCAAACCAGTGCAAGAATGCAAGAGTGCACAAGAATCGGCACGCAACAAACATACACCAACAGAAAAGGTGTGATGTGTTGTTGTTCATGTTTGCTGGAGTCCGCTAGTTCGCGAATATGGGGGGGGGCAGGGCATCCATCAAATACACTGCAACTGGTCGTACAATTCGTACAATGTACTGGTTTCCATGCGTTTGCTAGTTTTGCAAGAGTTGTATGATTGTTTGATATTTTTTGAGGCTTTGTGGTCCTTCTGCTGATTGTGGTCTGTAACTTGCCTTCTAAGTCTACATGTTGTGACAATGGTTTGTATGTGGACAAATTTGGTTTGCACGGATGGTGCCAAAGGCATACATACAAATCGAGTGATCTTGGTGGTTTTTGTTTTCCCGCGGCTATTTTCAGTGTCCGAATAAACACATGTAGGCAAACAATAGGATAGTGCCTGGCGCTCATTGAGTTTGCAACCCGACCAGGATGAACAGTGGGAGAAAGATTATGAGGCTCGTTGTTCTTGATTGTCTAATGTTTTATCTCCTCTATGCAAATTTGTCATTCCCCAAAACAAACATGATGCTTGTTCACAGCCGTGCAAGTTGCCCGCAGGCCTTCGAAGCTCTTCAACGGGCAAAAGGCATAATGTGGATTTGTTTGCAATTTGCAGTTGGATTGCTGCTCAAGGGTGCATGCAGACATAACGTGTCGGGTTCAATCAGTCCGGTCCAAACTTTGGGTCTTGGCCACTGGTGTGACAGAGAGCCTTGAAATTGGCAGATGCATTTCATGTTTGTGCTTAAATGCGATATTTAGACTTAAATGAGGGTATTGCTTCATGTAAACAACTTTCGTGTTGACACCACACCCGAAAGTGTCAAAAACTGTGATGATGCTTGAAAGTTTTACTTGTTTTTCGCAGTTTTCTTTTGCAGATGGGGAACCAACGCTGGCCCTGTTGGCACAATCACAAGGACAGTTGTTACGTGCTGGCACTTTGCACTTTTGGAGTAACGTAGAGGAAAATATGTTGCATTTGCCTTCAGAACTCTGAAGGCTGAACCATCGCTAGTAGGTTGGAGGCCATCGCTAGTAGGTTGGATGTTAGGTTGGATTATCAGAAACCAACGCAGCAGCTACCTCCAATGTTGTCACACTCCATCCAAACCCAAAGGCTTTGATCAAGTGCTGGAAGAGTAGTTCAACGGGAGATAATGGGAGTGCCTTTTGAGATTCAGAGCACAGAATTTCGTGAATCTCATTTAGTCTCAACTGACTGGGATATGTGACTGTGATTCCATCTCGACGTCAGCTGAATGTTGCCGTTCGTTGCGCATCATGAAAACTGTTTTGACATTGAATAAACGCCAGACTTTGAGTGCTGTCTAAGCGAAGCTGACTTAATCCCCTGTGCCCTGTTCCTAATGATCAAGGGGTCATTTATGAGTATCAAGTATCAATACTCATTTGGGGGTACACCATTGCTTTTGAATGGTACCTCATATCCAAAAGTTGTCTTTCCTAGCATCCCCAAAAAGCAAACCCATGATTTCAAAAGGCTGAATGGGTGTTCGTTTTTCTTACGTTTGCAGCCCTTGCAAAACTCTAAACAACTTTCAAAACACAGCTGCAAAAAGAGGCCAAAGGCCAGTTGGTTCAATTATGTTATATAATTTGGTAGGTGTTTATACTGTAATTGTTTATGCTACTAGGAACAAGTGCATCGCTACTAGAAACAGGTGCCTTACTAGTAGTAACAAGGTTCGCTACTGGAAACAAGTGCCTTACTAATAGTAATAATATACTAGGAACAGGTGCCTTACTAGTAGTAACAAGAAGCTAGTAGAAACAAGTGCCACGCTACTAGGAACAAGAATATCTAATTAGGGGAATGATTGGATCATCCGCTCTGTGTGTACCACTGGTGTAAACATATCTGAACTGTCATTCCCTTTCCTCATTGCCTTTCCTTTTTGACACTGAAGTTTTGTACGGTTTTCTTAAAATGGGGTGCACTTGACAGCCAAATTATGGTCTCCAGTATAATACATGTATAATATATATATAATATCTATTACGGTGATTATGTCTCGTCACTCCTATTTTCTTCAGAGGGTTGACGATCCCTCACCAATTCATAGAGCTGATAGGATGTGAACTGAAACTACGACTTGGAAGTCATAAGGCCGAACCGAAAAAGATTGGAACTCGGCATTTTCATTTTGGTTGCAAGAAAGTAGTTTGGGTCCACACCTGCCACACCTCATCTCCAGTTGCCAATCAGCAGGAATAGATGCCAAAGTCGCCAAAGTGCTGCAGCAGACTGAAACTCTAGAGAATGAAGTGGATTTGAAGAGGCGTGGATGCTGCAGTTGGCAAAGCGGTTTCGAGATCCCTAATCTGGAAGTCAGGTGATACACATCCCCCTTCCGACTTCACCAACCCATAGAGCTGAAACCCTCGACCAGAGCAAAGCTTCATCAGTTTGGCAGCGAGACAAGGCCCACCGAGCAGCAGCAAATCCGCCATGCAAAAGAGTTACAGGCCAACCACCATTTGGCGGAGATGAAGGCCGCTACTGAGCCGCTACTGCAGATACTTTTACTCTGTGATTGTTTGACCCGGTAAAAGTGGTCAAAGAGTGTGAAGATTGTTCACGGTGTCTTGGACTCATTGGCTCAAGGGACGAAATTAGTATAATATTAGTATGTCCAGGACGCTACTAGGAGCAAAGGGCATCGCTACTAGGAGCAAGAAGCTACTAGGAGCTTGTTTACCAAGGTGGAATTCCAGAAGAAGAATCTATCCATCCGTTTGGCCGTCCATTCGTGTATGCGCGTAAGCGGGGTTTGGACCATGCTCAATTGCACCGGGCATGTTTTCTCGACGCCTTGATTGACTCTGTTGTGTGTTCTCTTTCTGTGTCCCTTGGTAAGTCTTCCTTTGACACCTTTGAGCCACTACTAGGTTGGAGGCCATCGCTCTTAGGTTGGAGGCCATCGCTACTAGGGGGAAGCCATCGCTCTTATCATGCCTTATCGCAAGATCCCACAAATCCAAAGACAGACTCCTCACGTCTTCCTGTGAGGCGAAGGATAGTGAAGTGTCGCTCTTGAGGCTTCAAGGACGGGAGAGCTCCAAATGAATAAATTAAGCTGAAAGCCCATGACTCTGACTTATAATTACAAAAGATCTTCAACACAGACATGAAAAGAAAACAATGGTCATAAAAAAAGGGGTTTTGTTGGGGGATCGAAGACGACCAAAGTTCCTGTGACGACACATGCTGTGACACACTGACAGCGCGTTGCCAAGGCCTATGTAGGATGCCTAAAGCGGTGCCTTGATGTTGGTTTGTCACCGGAAATCACAGAATATCCTTCCTTGGTTTGTTTACGTAATGTGATCAAGCATACCAACAGGAGAAGCCAAGCAGACGTCATGCACTCAGGGCAGCTTCCTCCATTGTCAATGCTGGTGAGGTTATACAACATAGCCCGGAACACATTGCTGTCGTACACTAAGTAGAAGCAAGGTAGACCAGGCAGGACCCAGACATTATCGAAAATCTGACATGACAACACAGTACAGCTACTAGTCTAGCTTTGTCATGTGACATGTTTTTTCCTGAGGCATATGCAAGCTCGTGCATATGAGATCATGCAAGGACTGATTTCTGGGTTGCAACATTGCATTTCAAGGCTAGATGTATTCCTTCATCAAGAAAGAAAGGGAGGAAGGACTTGAAACAATGTTGTTTTGCTATTTTGGGAGGAAAGGGGTTTTGGGCAGCAGGGCTGGAGCTGGGGCATTTAAAAAATGAAAACCATGCTGTTTGGCACAGGAAAGGCTGAGAACTTTCAGCGTGCAAAAGCTGAGCAGCAAAGTCAGCATCTCAGCCAACACGGAATAACAAGCTGCTTCAATGCAGTGTGGCCAGAGAATTGACCAGCCGTCACTTTGTGTTCAGGATTTATGCAATGGCAAAAGGCCCATGAAATGACGAAGTCGACACAGAATCTGTTTGCAACTCAGAGTCTTGGCTGAAGGATGCCAATAGAAGCTGTTGCACGCTTATGCCTTCAATGGACAGCCCGGAAAATGCGATGCGTTCATACCGCGCAAGTTCTGTTTAATAAGCAGACATCACGGGACAGCATGTTGAATCCGAACCAACTTCATTTCTTCAGTTGGAGACCAACACCATCTAAAGGTTCGTAGTTTCTCGTGCTGCAGAAGCCCTTTGAAGTCTCCGTTTGGGCACACTGTTCCGACATCAAACCGTCGGATCCGTGAAAACAACTCGGCACTCGAAACAATTCGTGAATTGCCAAGGAAAGAGACTGTCAGCTTGATCACCAGAGAACTTCACAAGCATCGGGACATGTTCGAGGTGGTTCAGGACCAAACCTTGATGAAGCTGTCATCTCACTGGGGCAGCCTTCTAGATGAAACTACTTTGGTCACTTGATTGTGCTCTCATACATACGTCAAACAAGTTTGGTTTCATATTGCTGCAGGAGTTGCAAAAGGAGCAACGACAACAACTGAGACAGCAAAGGCCCATTGGTTGAACCGATAATATATCAGCTAGCAGATGTCTCGCCAGGTTTCTTGCATGTTCTCATAATATTATTGCATTGTTTGTTTCAAGTCTTGAGAGAGAGAGAGAGAGAGCCATGAACCCCGGGCTTGCTGCCATTCAGATCACCACAAGGTCGGAGGATGACACCAGCAGCCGCTTTGAGCAGTGGCAACGCTCACCACAGGCAGAGCAAAACTAAGGGACTAAGGGTAAGCGTTCTTGACGCCAGTTTCGGGGCATTTGAGCCCTGAAAGGTTTGAACACTTGCTGTTTTCCTCGGGTAAGTCCGGACAGACAGATCAAATGCGGAGGGTCCAAGCTCTGCTTTTGCAAGGGCATGGCCACCGTAGAAAAGCAAAAAAAACAGCAAAAGGAGCACGCGGCGATGAAGGACAGCTGTGTTGTTTAGGATACCTCATGACCTCATGTTTTTTTTCCTTTTTGATGCCCAATCTTGTATTCGTACCTTTCAAATGCTTTTGTTGTTGTTATAGACCCTGACAAAGGGGTCGCAAGTCTTGTACCGTAGGAGCACGAAGCAGAGTGGCCACCAGCTTAGCCTTGACATGGGACACGCAACATACTACACTAGGTTGCTCGTTTTGCTTTGCTTGAGAGCTGCAATTGTGTGTAGCTTGGGGCAAAAAATCAAATCTATTATACAATACAATGGCAGTCCTAAAGCCTCTCCTCATATACCTTTTGAATCCTTTAACTTTTAACAGTTTGACAGTAAGTTTGCCTTTGGCTTGGTGCCAAGGATTGCCGATGAAGGTGCGGAGCTCTAGTGGGGAATCCCCTTGTGATACTCGTATGTAAGTACTGTACTTGTAACTGTACTTGTATTAGATTGAGATGGATGTACGTTGGAGGCCATTGCTATTAGCGCTTGGTCAAGAGTCAAAACTACTGCAATTGGTCTGAAGAGCTGGGACGATGCTTGGGCTAGGGTCAGGGTCTAGTAATTATCTCACAGGTGCACTCGTCGTTGTTTGGTTCTATACATCAGAAAACGACCGTTCTTCAGACATGTTGAATAGCTTCTTGTTACTACTAGTAACAAGTGCCACGCTAGTAGTAACAGGTGCCTTACTAGTAGTAACAAAAAGCTATTAGATTTTAAATTGAGATTAATAGCTTCTTGTTACTACTAGTAAGGCATTTGTTTCTAGTAGCGATGCACTTGTTACTAATAGCGAACCTTGTTACTACTAGTAAGGCACTTGTTTCTAGTAGCGATGCACTTGTTACTAATAGCTTCTTGTTACTACTAGTAAGGCACTTGTTTCTAGTAGCGATGCACTTGTTACTAATAGCGAACCTTGTTACTACTAGTAAGGCACTTGTTTCTACTAGCGTGGCACTTGTTACTAATAGCTTCTTGTTTTTAATGCTTTGCACGCAACCTTGACATTTTGAGACCAGACAGCAGTGGTAAATGTTGCCAGTTTCCACTGGTGAGGCCGCTTCGCCATGTGGCAGCAAAGACGCTCCAGAGGGCTATAGTATCTATACTTGCTGATTGCATGTGTGCTGGGAGATAAAAGGGCAGGTCAAATACGGCAACCTTGATCCTTTCTAAATATATCGTATTCAGGAGCTTACAGAGAGCGATTCCTTTCTCAATACCATAATATGGCACTGGATAGAAAGCATCGCTTGAGTTGAAACAAGCATGGAGCATTTGGAACTGCCTCGTGCCGCAACTAGTGGCTTTTCTCAAGCTCCGCACTTTACAAGCTCTTCTAATGCAGAAGCTTCTCATGGCTTCGCTTGTGTTTCTCTGGCTTCTCATCGGAAGCTGCTTTGACCTTCCACGTGGTGACGTCGTTGAGCCAGTGGCGTCCTCAGAGAGTTTGACAATTCGGATGGGAGGAGCGTCCTCAAAATCAGCCATATTGGCCTTGCGTTGACTCGCTTTACGTTGAACCGTTTCGAAGCGATTTGCATTTAAGTTGACAACCGGTTTGCGTATAATGTATGTGGATGTATTATGTATGTGGTTCCACATGTGCTTTGTACTTGGTCAAAAGGGTACTGCAGCAAGTTGAGCAGAGGCAAGGATGCACATGAAGACAGCTTAAGCATGCTTAAGCGAGCTGTTTGAATATGTTTGGATATCATGTGGAGACTCGTTCAAGCCATCTATTTGGGAGGTTTGCAAGGCATCGTCTCAAAGCCTGCTTCAGCGAAAGAGCCAGAAGGAGCCTCTTCAGCCGTAGAGTTTGAGAAGCACCGAAGAGCGGAACATAGTGGTACCATTTGCCAAAAGATGCCAAGCGTATCAAACCGTCTCGGTGTGTCAGGAAATCCTCTTCCAGGCACGGACACTGTGTTGGGATGTGTTGGGGATATGATAACTTGTTTGTATAGGTTTGTAGTGTTGAATACGTTACTGTTATGTGCCAACGCCATGCATGCAGTTTGGCGTCAATGGCTTGAGCTCCCTTGGGTGACGGTACCAAGCCATTTGCATAGGAACATTTGTGCATTTGACACAATTTGACACCCATTTGACATAATTGCATCGATGTTATTTCTCCTGAGCATTCGGACTTCCTGGATACAGTATATATATATATATATTATACATATCTTCTATTTATTTGTTATTTTGTTTTCCATACCTTGGACCTCCTTGAAACAGTCAGTGTCAACCGTTAGTGACGGTGTCTAGAATGGCCACAAGTGGCATGAACTTGCCATCGATCTATTTGATGTGTGACAGCTTGTGAGCCGAGACAAGTGGATGCTGCAGTCTGTTTAAATAAAGCAATTGCAGCAATTGCATGTCAACCGATTAAAGGTTGGTCAGATGCAAGCTAGGCCAACATCCTGTTTCCATTCTGATTCTATTTGATATTCAATGAGTGCAAATACTCGTAGTTACGGTACGACAGTCGTCCGGAGAATAGGTGACCTATGGCAATCTCTTGGCCAGCAAAAGTTGCTCCCTTGTGAACCGCAGGATCACTGGAAGGGAGAAAGCTTGCCTGTGGAGCCTGACCGGCGACGCGGCACGGGTTTTGAATCGCTGCATGGGTTTCTCCAAAAAGCAGAACCTCCCTGAAGACGTCGGTGACAAATTTTATATTTATTATATCTGATGATTGAACCTCCAGAAGGGATGATTGACACCAGCTCAGGCCCACAAAGCCTGATGACGACCGCTTTGAGTTTTGTCAAGCTTCGCCCAACATCTTGGGCGAGGTCGCGTCAGAGACGAATTTAAGTGACACAACTGGAAGTTCAGCTTGCAACGACCAGTCTGAAGTGGCACTTTTCTCACCAAAGGACCGCATATTAGGGCATTACTACGCTACTAGTAACAAATGCGTCGCAATTAGTAGCTAGAAGCTGCTAGTTTCTGTTGATGCATGATCACTCGACTCCAGCATGAAGAGCTGCTACTCTATTTAGGCCTCACTGGCCTCACTTCTTACTTTGCTTGCTTTGGCACCGGCAGGACAGCAGTCCCTACTACGAGGTATCATGCTGTCCTGCAAACAAGCAATTTTGCTCGGGTTGTGCCAAGCTGAACTCGGGCACCTTGGAGACATGTGGTTGAAGCCAGAATCGGATCAGCGGCGCAAGAATGGAATGAAGAGAGATATAGGCGAAGCTTTCACGAACATCGAAGCCATCGAATCTGCTGCGTAGTATACAAGCCAATCAAGGCCTAATTCATCACAGTGAGTTTGCATTTGGCTTTGAATCTTCTCAGGCAAGACAGCGTGTGATGTTTGCAGTGGCGGCTACACAAAGAGAGCCGCGGGCTGCATTGCGTAACTTGTCCACAGGGATGCAAAACATAAGATCAATCGTGTTGGAATTGATGCTTTTCACTTCTTTTCATTGACCTGAATATCGTAGCCATTGTCGTGGAACAGACTGGGACTGAGCTTTGACTCAGGTGTACAGACGTCCCTGGTTGGACAAACAAAGCTGGGGAGAACTGCTACAAGGCTTCTTGTTCCAACGACCTGCCCCTTGGACTTTCAGATTCAGACCCTGTGACAGAATGTGCCGTGCCATTGAGAAAATACAATATCGCATAATATCGCAATATATCGCAACCAGTTTTGCTTGGGACTTTCAATTATGTTATGCAGAGTTTGAATATGTTTGAATCAGTCGTTTTTGGCCAGCGCAGGTTTCAGGGCTTCTCGTCCAACTCGGCTTGCTGTAAGTGCGGTGGAGGGCAAGCTGCGGCCACCAAGCGACCTGGTCAGCATTCATGTCGTGTGCACAGTTAGCCAAGTTCAAAGTTAGTAGACGCAGCATTGTCAGGAAGTCAACATGAATGTGGGTATTGTTTGCGTTCCTGCCGACCAGCGGGCTTGCTTGATGCCTATGTCATGCACTTTTTGTTTTGTACGTCCTGCAGATGACAGTTGTGTTTGCACTGATCACGCTGTGTTGAGGACTCAGGACACTGTGGACTTGTAGTGACCATGAGTGTCGCACAAGCATAATTGAATGTGTAGTGTATGTTTCAATGGTTGTGCTGGGCCCTTCAATTGCTCGGTGTCCCTTCGTATCTTTCAGCCGAATGGTTTGTCTTAAGGTGAAGGCGTGCACCAACATGCAAATGTTGTTGATGTATATATGTTAATAATATTTTGATTTCTGTTTGCGTGCGGAAAGCCCCATGCTCACTTCGTGAGGTTTTCGTACTATGTTGGTCCTATGGCCCTGGGCAGCAGCGCAGTCTCAGGGCATCCAGTGCCCCGCACTGCTCACCTGTATGGAGTTGACAAGGACTTGGGTAAGTAGTATTTTTGCAAGGCGTTGGAAGGACCACCGCTTGTGATGCAATAAAGCACAACACTAAGTCAATAAGGCATCAAGTGAACATCGGTGCATTGCACTTCCCTCACAAGTCAGGAGTTACTGTTGCTGACAATATACAGACGACAAACTGTCACACAGGAGTTGATCTAAAGGCCCGTATCACAAAGACAATGAGGGAGGCTTGCTTGGAGAGATGCAAGAGTGCACATTCTAGAGATTGATGAGATTATGATCTAAAGCCTAAAACAACTCCGCTGCGAAGATTTGCCAGAAAAGCTGTGGTTTGTTGTTGATGTTGAAGAGACTCAAGAAGGATGAGGTACCTGGTGATGACTTGGTGTGACCTGTTTGCATGGCTGTTGACCGGAAGGACTGCGAGCTGTCAAAGTATGGCCTCACGGTCGATGCCACCACAGGTGAGTTGAAATTGTCATCTGGGCGCCTCGACTAGAACCTTTTTGTACATGGCCATCATACAACTTGTGTGAGCATTCAAGGGAAAGAATCGGAAAGACAGGTGCTCAAAAGAAACTACTCAGTGTCTACCCAATTTTTGTCGTGTTGCATCCTCACTTTCTTGTTTGTTTAATGTTGTGCCACTTGGCTACATGTTGAACAGTGAGTGGAGGTATTTGCATGTAGGTGGCCGATGTTGCACTTCCAAATTCAAGGCGTGATACAGTAAGAGCATCTTACTGGTAGCCGCAAACCTTATATACTAGAATATCCTGGTATCATTTTGATGGTCGTTGCTGACTTGTCCCAACCAAATCAGATATGCCTAGACTGAATGGCCAACTTCCGCGCAAAGCTTGTGAGGTGCAACGCTGTAGGCTGTGGTAAGACAGAGACCATCGAAGTGAAGTGCACGGTTACGGCTTGGCAAAGCAATGGACTTTCAGCTTCCGCACCATTGACTGTGACTTGGCAGCAGATTGCAAAATAATCACTGTGAGCAACAGAGCAAATGAGAAATGCCACAGCAGCTCTTAAGGTTATAGATACAGTATATAATCATTGCCAGGTTGTGGATGCGACTTTCTTCAGCACGCTCCACATGCAGTAAAGAATAGCAAAGATATACTATTGGGAGTTGATCTAGAGGGGCGTGTAAGGGATTCCAGTGAGGGATGTTACATAAAACCGACCTTTTATGCAGTTGTCAAAGATCCACGATCAGGTTCGCGACTTTTTTAAGGTCTAGGTACGAGTTTGGCCACATATTTTAGTACAGGACAGCTTCAACCACTGTGAAGTGGTGTAATTAGCCATCGAGGCTTAAGGTCCGAGGTCCATGGTCCGCGGTCCGCTCTTCATCATCCTTGTGCCTGGAGCCCCAGACAATTTGAGAGTGGCCCACCTCCCTCCCTCCCTCCCCTCCCTCCCCTCCCTCCCCTCCCTCCCTCCCTCCCTCCCTCCATCTTTTTCAGTCTCTTTCTGTCTTTCTGGAGAGGAGGTTGTATTTTCACTCCATGTAATATGTACATTTTGTACCTTGCACATAGTAGGATGTCATGTTGACTTTACCTTCGCAGCTCGCGGCCCAAAACAGGAGTTGCAGCTTAACGGCTGTTTCTATAGGTTATCAGCCGTAGTGCTCTAACCACAGCCATGGACGCTCTTGCTATTCCTGGGAACGGTACATCATCGGTAGCAGTCCCAGCCGGTCTCATGACTGAGCCCACGGTGGATCTAGATGACCCCATGGGTTC